TGGACTCTGATTAAAGAACCTGGGCACTCATCACATTCACTTATTTTAAGCTTGAGTTGCCTTACATTGGTCTTAAATCCTAATACCTCCTTGGATGGCCCTGAGACAAGCTCTATACTAGCCTGACTTCTACACCGGAGTGTGTCCGGGCCCACATGAATTATGACTGGATAATGGCTCTTCTTTGGAACAGGCTTAAGGAAGCAACTGGCAAGGGAACTAAGGGGTTGGGAAAATGAAAACAAGTTGGCCTGAAGCCAATTTGTAGTTTGGGGAAGAGGACCAGGTGTCCCTACACACCCAAAACTCCAAATCAACAACCTAAATACATGTCTCAAAATCTGGAGAAGGAACTACAAATAAAATAGCACTGTAGCACTGTCCTACCATCGTTCATCTATTTGCTCGAGCGGGCACCAGTAACATCTCCAATGTGAGACATGTTGTTACTGTGTTTGGCATACCGAATACGCCACAGGGAGCTTTCCAGGCTCTGCCGTGTGGGCGGGATACTCTCAGTAGCTTGTCTGGCTCTCAAAGAGGGACGGAGGAAGTGATTCCAGGTCAGCCACGTGCAAGGCAAACACCCTGCCCGCTGTACTATCGCTCCAGCCCACAAATAAAATACAAAGAGTGAAAGGATAAAATTGAAGTCAAGAGAGGAAATCAATAATATAGAAAGCACAAAAGAAATTCAAAGAATCAATAAAACTAGCAGCTGCTTCCTCAAATGATAAGCAAGAGAGACAAACCTTTCACTACACTCACAATCAAGAGAAAAGAAAAAAAATGTTCAAATAAAATAAATCAGAGACCAAAAGTGTAGATCATAACAGATCCCTTGGAATTTCAGTATGTAAGAGGTCACTATGAAAAACTTTATGATATTAAGTTGAAGAATCTGGAAGAAATGAACAGATTCTTAGAATCAGCACTGTCTGTCCTCCTATTGTAAATTGATTTGCTGGAGCGGGCCCAGTAACGTCTCCATTGTGAGACTTATTGTTACTGTGTTTGGCATATCGAATGCATCATGGGTAGCTTGCCAGGCTTTGCCATGCAGGTGAGATACTCTTGGTAGTTTGCCAGGTTCTCCAAGAGGGGCGGAAGAATTGAACCCAGGTAGGCCTGGTTGGCTGCGTGCAAGGCAAACACCCTACCCGCTGGGCTATCGCTCCAGCCCTCTTAGAATTATATCATTTAAAAAATCTGAATGAGAAGGATGTAGTGTTTATTAATAGACCGATCATGACTAAGTAGTCTCATCAAGAACAACATTCCAGGTCCAATGGGGTTACTGGAAAGTTCTATCTGACTTTCAAAGAAGGTTTTTACTAAAATGGAAGAAAAAAAATCATAGATCATATTGGTGAATGCAGAGATAACTTCTGACAAGTTTCAGAATCCATTCCTGTTGAAAAAAAGAACTTTATTAAAATAGGGGTGGAAGAAACCCTTTTCAAGGCAGTAATGACCATCTGTAACAAGCCCAAGGCCAAGATCTTTGTTTTTTTTAATTGTTTTTATTTTATTTTCATGATTTTTGGTAACACCCTTCAGTTTTCTTACCAAACTCAGGAGTCACTCTCCTGACTGATTCAGGGACCATATTGGATGCTAGGGATTAAACCCGGGTCAGCCACATGCAAGACAAGCACCTTAATCACTGTGTTATCCATCCAGCCTAACAGCCAGTATCATTCTTAATAATAAAATATGCAAAATATTTCTTCTCAGATAAGGTACAAGGATGTCCACTATCCTTTCATCCTCCACTTTTATTCAATATTGTATTAAAAGTCCTGGCTACAGCAACAAGGCAAGAAAAATAAATCAAGGGACCCAAATTGTGAAAGAAGTCCAATCATTACTATTTGACCATGACATGATTGTATATTTAGAAGACCCTAAAGAGTCAACCAAATGCTACTAAAATTAATAAATCAATACAGTAAAACTCGCTGTAAAAAACCCAATGCACAAACATTGGAGTCATTCTTATATACAAATCAGTGAATGAGAGGAGTAAGCCACCAAGGAGTCTATCCCATTTATATTAGTGTCCAAAATAAATATATCAGTTTCCAAAATATCAAGAATCTCTGATTAAACCTAACAAAAGATGTAGATCTACATCATGAAAACTTTCAACCACTTAATAAAGACATAGAAGACCTTAGGAAATAAAAAAACAATTCCATGCACAATTACAGACAGAAAGACTAAATTTATTAAAATTATTAATCTACCTTAGCTCATATATTCAACATAATGCCCATCCAAATTCAGATGACATTCTGCAAAGACCTAGAAAAGTCAGCAATATAGTTTGTACGGAATCACAAGAAACCACAAAAAGTCAAATCCATACTGAAAAAGAAGAGATTTGTAGGTATCTCATTACCTATAATTTGAAACTACATTTATAAAACTATACGGATCAAAACTGCAAGGTACTGGCCTAAAATTAGGCTTTATACAAGTTACTGGAATAAAGGTACTGCAAGGTACTGGAATAACGTTTGGTTTTATGATCAATGTTAAGAATTGAATACTCAAGGTAAAAAAATATTTATAGACATAATTTTGATAAAAGGAGGTGAGAACATGAAAAGGAGTAAAGATAGCCTCTTCAAGAAATATTGCTGAGAAAATCGGATAACCACAGGTAAAACATTAAAGCTGGATCCACATCCAAAAGTCAAATCAAAGTGAATAAAAGATCTTGAGATCTGACTGGAAACTAAAGTACATTTAGGAAGATATAGGCAGAATAGTCTGAGATTTCAACCTCAAAGATGTCTTCAATAATATGATTGGCAAAGGAAACAGAATGAAAAATAAACAAATGGGACTATATTAAAATGTTTCTGCATGGAAAAATGAAAGGCTGAAACTAAAAGACAGCCAACGAAATGTGAAAAAACTTGCATTCAACACATCATAAAGGGTTGATCTCCAGGATATTTAAACTACTTAAAAAGATCAAAGAAAAATATACAAAGACCTTATCAAGAAGTGGGTGGAGGAAAGGACTGAGCGATAGTATAGGAGGTAGGGCATTTACTTTCCCACAGCCAACCCGGGTTGAATCCTCAGCATCCAGTAAGGTTCCCTGATCATCGCCAGAAGTAAGTAATGAGGGCAGATCCAGGAGTAACCACTGAGCACTGAGGTATCCCCTCAAAACTGAGATGGGCCTAAGAGATGCTGCATTTGGCAAAGGAACCAATTGATAGTCGAGCAGCAGGAGCTGCTCTCTATCTTCACATGGTGCCACCGCCACCCACGGGGACAAGATGCCTAGGTTTCGCACCATCACTGCACCTGTCAGCTGTGCCCCAGCAGTTTGTCTTTTAGTCCTGGTTTTGCTACTCTCTGGCCAGGGCCATGTGTCTGCTGGTGAGAGTCCTGTGCTCAGTACCTTGTAACTATCTGGATGTCTGAGCCCTGCCTGTACCTGAGCTATCCTGAGCATCAGAGCCTTGCCTCTAACTGCCAGAATCTGGGCACGAGTGATACTGTGCCTCGTGTCAGGGTACACCATACTACCTAATCTATTGGGAGGACAGTAACCAGAATGCATGTTCTCAGAGAGAGAGACAGAGAGAGAGTCAGAGACAGAGAAAGAGACAGAGACAGAGACAGAGACAGAGACAGAGATACAGACAGAGAAAGACAGAGAAAGAGAGATAGAGACAGACAGACAGAGAGAGCACCCCAACTCGGGACTTCCTTTAATCTGCTGCCAAATCCTACCCTCAGCATTCCAATTCTGTGTTCAGATTGACTCCCTGTCCATGGGCTGAGATTGGCTCCCTGTTCCTGGGACTCTACACCTCAGCTCCTGCTGTGTCTCCCCCTCCCCCCCCCCCCCCCCCCCGTCCCGAGTAGTGGTTACCTTAAATTCTTTTAGGGATTGTGGCAAAGGACTATCTTCTAAAACTCCTTCCTGTTGGCATGTGGACGCTCGTTTTGCTTGGGACTCCTAGGTGCCACACTTGTTCCCTAACTGGAACAGTGGGGTAGGAGTCAGTGTCCCTGATGGCTGGTCAGATAATTAGTGGGGCTCCAAGACTTGAGAGACAGACATGCTCAGACCCGTGACAACTAAAAATTATTTCACTAAGACCAGGGAACTTTGGAGAGAATATTCCCATATGAAGAAACAGAAAATATAAAAACATCCCTTAACACCCATAGAAACATATAGAACCATTTACAAGTGAAAAACACATTTAACTATTAGCCTTGAAGAGATATTTTGCATCTTCTAGATTTTGGGCTTCATAGTTCTTGTCCTTGTAGTTTGTGTTGGAATCTAAAATAATTATTTCTGTGACCTGGGTTTTAGTGGGTAGTCTTCTAATCAGTGACTATTATCATGGAAATGGGTTTCTGCAGAAGTTTTCTCTATTTGCACATTTACTTTTCCAATGCCCTTCCTGATGGCAGTAATAACATCTCCCTTTGGAGCTGGTTTTGAAGTTCTCAAATGCAACAGCATTTCGGGCTCGATTCCTGTGTCCTCTGTTCCCTATTTCAATCGACATTCTTTCTCACTTTCAGTAGTTCTCCAAGGCTAACCCTTGAAACCAAGCCTACTATTTGAAACTTTCTCTGTATGTCCAGGGCAGTCTATGCTGCCAGTAGGCACAGACACGCCTCATTCATGGGTGCTCACCATCAGACATTAAGGATGCTGAGTCTGGTGAGGGAAGGAAGGTATTGTCATTTGGATAATTTGCTCCTGTACAGTTATCAGACAGCTAACCTTTGATATAAGGAAAAAGCTTCTAATGCAAGCTGTGAGTTCCAGGCCTAGCCAATATGAAACCAGAGAGCACTGAAAAATGAGCAAAGAGACTTAAGGTGGTACAAGAAAATGTCTCCTAAACTGACTTGAGGAACTCAGGAAGGCTATATCCTCAGGCTTGTGTAATTCACTGAATGGTGACACAGCAGCCACCGAAATATTTCTTCTACTTGTATGTTTTCAGATGGAGAAACCACCAAATGGTTCCAGATGACACACCATCGGGCTGTCCAATGAACAACTGGGGAAACTTTGATTTGAAGTTTCTCCATAAAGAAGGACTCAGCCACTTCTGTACCAAGTCTGGCCACAACACAATTTGGGAGGTCAAGTATGGCCAGCACAAGGAAGTATAAACCATAGTGCTGTCTGGGAATTCTATTAGTTTTGTAAAAATATGGGTAAGCACATTGTTCACCTTATGTTCACCTGCTTTATGCTTTATGAGAAAAACCTGGACTTTGTTGGAATTGTAAATTGGTACCCTCTTTTCTTGCCAAATACCATGAGACTAGAACAATGGACAACCCCTAAGAGCCCTCTTCCTGCAGTGCTCATAGCCCCAGAGTTGTTTCTCCCTTATCCATACCCACAAATGGACCTGTTGACTATCAGGAAAGCTGGAGACTTAGGATTTATGGCTTTGTGCACACTTCAGGAGGCTCCCCAGGGATGCAGGAAATATCCAGGATCCATGTGCCTTTCTCCTTGAAAGTTATAGGCCAGATAAAGCCAGATCTAGGGAGATTCTCGAATGACCCTGAGAAGTACATAATGAAGTTCCAGGGTATTCTGCAAATGTGTGAAATGGCATGGACAGTTATAATACTCATCTTAAATCAAAACTTAAAAACAAACAAAAGAGTACTGTACAAAAGTACATAACTTGATTATGTACTTATCTGAGTCTTATAATCATTTCTGGAGAATTCAGAATCCTTTGATAAATAAAATATATTCCACAGCGCAGTGGCAGTCTGTCCTGTAGACTCAGGATGGAATTACAAGCAGCCAACTGCTGCTTGGTGCCTAGACACTGTGAGTTACAGAGTAGGGAAAATAACAAGAAGCAGAGACTGACCCCTTAATTATGCTTTGTTGATCATTATTGAGCAGGAACCAGAGAAAACACCCACAATATCTTTAGAGTGTCAGGGAAGCAATTAGAAAATACACTACCTAAATCCTATGCAAGGTGAACTAATCTTATGGAAAAAAATGTTTCTGCAGGCTGCCCCAGATATACGGAGAAAGTTTCAGAAGATAGGTGTGGGTCTGGAGGTTGTCCTTGGAGAACTATTGAAAGGGGCTTTGGCAATCTATTGCAACAGAGAACAAGAGGGCACAGGAAGAAATAGAGCCCAAGAGTGGTTTTGCATTTGAGGACTTCAACAGAAACTCAAAAGGGATATGCCATTTCTGCCATCAGGACGGGCACTGGAAAAGTGAATGTCCAAATAGGAGAAACTTCTGCAGAGACCCCGTCCATGATAATAACAAGCACTGGTTACAGGACTACCCACCAAGTCCTAGGTCCCAGAAATAGTTGCTCTAGAATCCAACACTGCAAACCACAGGGACAAGAAGTTTGAAGCACAGCATCTACAAAATAGATATATATTTTCAAGGTTAATAATTGTTTTCTTCTCTTGGAAATAGTTCTATGTCTTTCTATAAGGGCAAGGGAGTACTTTATACTTTCTATTTCTTAATATGAGAATATTTGCTGTAATGTTCTTTGGTTTTAGTGAAATGGGATTTAGTTGCCACATGTCTAACCATGTCTGTCACACTAGAGTCTTGAAACCCCAATGATCATTCGACCACCATCATAGAAACTAACCACAGCTTCACCAGAGCTCCAGTTAGGGAACAGGAGTTGTATCCTAGGGGTCCAAAGAAAGACCAGCACCCACATGTCAACAAGAAGTCATTTCAGAAGATGGGCCTTTGGCCCAATCCCTAAAATAAATTTAGGTTAATCACTCCTGACATTAGGAGTTAATGCTTTAGGGGATAAATTAATAATTTAGGGGAATTCTTCAGTAGAAGCTGAGGTGTAGAGTGCTAGGTCACTTTCAATCTCTGCCTATGGACCAGGCAATCAGAACGTAGAATAGGATGGCTTGGGGTGAGACTCGGCAGTAGATAAAAGGAAGCCCCCCTCCCTCTGTCTCTGAGCACACATTCTCTGGACTCTCTCCTCTCTCCATGGATCAGGTCTTTCCTAGACATGGGGCTCAGACCCAGGCAGGGCTCAAGATGCCCTGTAGTGACAAGGCACTGAGCACAGGACTCTCACACACACACACACATGAACATGGCCAGAGAGTAGGAAAGCAAGGACTGCATGACAGGAACTGCTGGGATAGAGCTGTGAAGCCCATTTGATGGTACAGAACATAGGATCTAATCTGCCTGGGCAGCTGTGCTGGAGACAGAGGAAAGCTTAGATGAGATAGAGAGCAACGCAGGGACAGGACCCAGGCATTGTTCGTGGGGGGGGCAAGTAGACAGCTTGGGACAGGACAGGGAAGTCGTCCACGGGTCCAGAAAGTGTCAGGGACAGGACATGGTTATCATTCACAAGTAAAGGTGAGGCCTGGACATCTAGGGAAGGACCTGGAACCATTTATTTTTCTGTACAAGAAACTAACTTTCAATCTTCTGAGTTTTAGGTGCAAATATTTCATACAATTCTCCCAAACCCACCACCGCTTTCTTGCTAATGAGAGTGCAGCAGGTATGGCATTTGCCATTCTTTAGCTCTTTGGGTCACACTGGCAATGCTCATGGGTTACTCCTGGCACTCTAATTACTCTTGGCAGTTCTCGGGGCACCATACAGGATACTGCAGATCTAAGCCAGGGCGGTCTTGTTCAGGGAAAATTTCCCACCTGCTGTACTATTATTATTATTATTACGCTGAAGCGATAGCACAGCGGGTAGGGCGTTTGCCTTGCATGCAGCCAACATGGCCGACCTGAGTTCGATTCCTCCGCCCCTCTCGGAGAGCCCGGCAAGCTACCGAGAGTATTCGATATGCCAGACACAGTAACAACAAAGTCTCCAATGGAGACGTTACTGGACCCGCTCGAGCAAATCGATGATCAACGGGAGGGCCTGTACTATTATTACAGTAGGGCATTTGTTTTCTACACAGCCAACCCAGATTGGATCCCTGGCAATTTATGTGGTCCCCTAATCACCAATAGGAGTGTTCCCTAAGCGGGGACTGTGGAGTAAGCCCTGAGAAAAGAAGATAAAAAAAGGATAGAATTGGTGAAAAAGAAGAAGGAAAAGAATGGTGGGAGGAAAGGCTAAAAGAAGACAGAATTGAAGGAGAAGGGAATAAGGAAGAATGAAAGAAAGAAATCAAAGAAAGAAAGTTAGAAATAAGGGAAAGAAAAACCAAAAGAAGCAAGTATCAAAAGTAAGAAAGGAAAGAATGGAAGGAAGAGGAGAAGAAGGAAGGAAGGAAGGAAGGAAGGAAGGAAGGAAGGAAGGAAGGAAGAAAATCCAGAAGGAAGGAAAGAAGAAGAAAAATGGAGGATTCCAGGACTGAAGGAAGGGAGGGAAAGAAAGAAATCGGATGGAAGGAAGAAAAAAGAACGAACGTATTAAAAAAGGGGGTAAATGGAGAGGGGAGTATGGTAGGAGGGAATGAAGAATGGAAGAAAAAGGAAGGTAGAGAAATAAAGGAAGAAATAAAATAGAATAAAAGAAACGAAAGAAAAAGAAATGGGGAGGAAGTGAGGGAGGAGGGAATAAATGAGTGAAGAAAGAAAGGAAGAAAAATAAAAGGAAGAAAAAGAAACGAGGATGGAAGGAAGGAATGAAGGAAGTAAGGAAAGAAAGAAATGGAAGAGAAAGAAGGAAAGAGTTAAGAACAGAGGTAGGAAGGTGTAGAGAGAGCAAAAAGGAAAGGGAGAAAGGAAAAAGAGAGGAAGGAAGTAAAAGAGAAAGATGAAGGACGTAGGAAGAGGGAAGGAGAGAAAGGGACAGAGGAATAAGAAAAAATAAAGGAAGAAAACAAGAGAAAGAAATAGAAAAGAAAGATGGTATGAAGGAGAAGGAAGGAAGGAAGGGGGAGGAGGAAGAGGAGGGAGGGAAGGAAGGAAGGAAGGAAGGAAGGAAGGAAGGAAGGAAGGAAGGGAAGGGAAGGGAAGGGAAGAGGGAGGGAGGGAGGGAGGGAGGGAGGAAGGAAGGAAGGAAGGAAGGAAGGAAGGAAGGAAGGGAGGGAGGGAAGGAGGGAAGGAGGGAGGAAGGGAGGGAGAGAGGAAGGGAGGGAAGGAGGGAGGGAAGGACGGGAGGGAAGGAGGGAGCCAAGGATGGAGGGAAGGAGGGAGGGAAGGAACGAACAAAGGAAGGATAGTAGGTGGGGACGTAGCGAGGCAGGGAGGGAGGGAGGGAGGGAAGGAGGGAAGGACGGAGGGAGGGAGGAAGGGAGGGAAGGACTGAGGGAAGGAGTGAAGGAGGGGAGGGAGGGAGGGAGGGAGGGAGGGAGGGAAGAAGGAAGGAACAAAGGAAGGATAGGAGGAGGGGACCCAGGGAGGGAGGAAGGGAGGGAAGGAGGGAAGGAGGGAGGGAGGGAGGGAGGGAGGGAGGGAGGGAAGTAGGGGAGGGAGGGAGGGAGGCAAGGAGGGAGGGAAGGAAGGAAGGAGGAAAAGAATGAAAGAACCCCCCCCCCCCTCAGTTCCTGTGGGCAGACACTGGGACACTCCCTGTCTGCCTGTGGGAGTGTGGGAGCCTCACTGGAGGCAGGTCAAGGTGAGCCTAATGAGTCTGTGCAGAACTGGAACTTGTACCTGGACCGACCGTCCTTATGTCTGATGTCTTCTCCATAGATTGGCTGTCCAAGCGATGGTCCTCTGCATTGCTCTAGGATGGGAGGGAGGAAAAAGAATAAAATAAAAAGGAGAAAGGGAGAGGGGAGTACAGTAGGAGGAAATGAAGAAGGGAAGAAAGAGGAACACAGAGAAATAAAAAGTATTGAGGAGTACAGCACTGGATGATGGATTATGGATTATGGATTCTGAAGTCTCAGCTTCTTCCATGTGTTCTTGTGTGTCATTTTACATGACTTACGTATATGTAACTGTACTAGGCGCATTCTATTCTACCAGGACTTCTTCAAGCTCTTGGTGACTACCAATGTGTGGCAGTGATGTGGAAGAAGTGACTGAAGTGTCTGGTGATGAAGACAACAGGTTGAATTGCTCATCTTCGTCCATTGGAACATTTTTACTTTTTGGTTTCCCCCTTAACGTTTTGCTAATGTTCTTCGCCTGCTTAGAAATGTCACTTTTGATGTCAGAGACATCCCATATTTCTAGGAACAAAGAGCAACATGTTC